AAAAATGATTCCTGCCGATTCCTGGGGGATTGTCGACAGAATTCGGCACGATTCCTAAGTCATCCTAGGGGATTCCTCCGACTTCCGCGAATATTTGTACAACCCAGAAAAAAGCAGGAGGATTCCCCAGGACTCCTGAAGAACTACTCCTGGAGGATCCCCACCGGATTCCTGAAGGATTCTTGAAGATTCCCAGAAATTCCTCAGGCTTCCAGAGGTTTGCTCCGGATTCCTGTGGTTTCCTAAGGAGGATGGCTCCTGCAGGATCCCCGACGGATTCCTTCGGATTCTTCAGGGTGCCGGAGGATTTCTGCGGAATCCTGAAGGTTCCTGCGGGTTCCTGAAGGCTCATTGAGGATTCCTGAAAGATTCCTGGAGCACCCCTGAGGATTCCGAAGGCTTCATGAGGACTCCTCAGGAGCCCCGAAGACCCCGAAGGATTCCTACGGGATCTGGAGGGTTCCTGAAGATTCCGAAAAGATTTCCTCAGATTCTGGGACTCGCATGGATTCCTGAACATTACGGGACTGAGGATTCGTTTCTGGATTCCCGGAAAAGTCCAGGGGGCTCCCTCGCGATCCTTGAAGATTCCTTTAAGATTTCTTTGAAAAAGGACTTTTGAAACTTCCTGAAGGACTCGCGGGAGATGTCTGAAGGATTCCTGAAGGATCCCTGCGAAATTCCTGAAATAAACTTGGGGATAAGTTGGATATCGATTCCTGCGGGTTCCTGAAAGATCTCTGGAGAATCCTGAACGATTCCTGGGGCGTCCTGGCAGATTTGTGAGGTAGGCTGCAACATTCCTGAAGGATGCTTGCGCGATTCCTGACAGACCCAACATCCATGATGAATTTCTGAACGATTTTTGACGCCAAGGGCCTCTTGAGCAATTCGAAGGCCGTCTTAGGGAGACTTGAGCCCATATGGGGTCGTCTTGGAAAACTTGGAATTCCCATGTCGTATAGGGCAATGGACCGGTAGAGGTCCCAAGGGCACACGATGATAACCAAGCGGTTTCCCTTGAAGGGTACCAACAAAAGCAACTTTAACCAGAGCTGTTTCCGCCCGTTCGGATTTCAGGCCTTCCAACTATTGTTTACCCTGCGGGACCTCGTGCAATCAGTTGGCATCCCACCCGTCCCGTTGGGATCTGACCCCGTCGCCCCAGAGGCCCTGCCTGGGAGGTCGCGGATACGGATATGTTTCTCGCCCACGAGAGGAAAGTGGACGCCCCAGCGACCACCACCAAATGCATGCGCCCCCCTGACCCACCATGTCTTAACTCGCGATCGTTTCACACAGCATCTGTTGCGATACTGATGTCATGCTGCGATCGATTCAGGATGCGTTCCATGAGTTCCGGAGAATCTAGCGGCCGTCGTTTCTGCAGCCCGTGTGGAGCGTCTGGAAATACAGGAGATCTGGGTAATCTTAGCACATGCCACTATCATGACCTCTTGCCCCTCGGGCCAAGAAGGCTCCAAGGAGGCGTTCGCAAGCTGGCCTCCACGGTGGTTGCCGTTCGCGCAGGCTCGGGACTGCGATGGCCAGGCGGCCTCCCCACGAAGCCCCCGAACGGAAGATGCATGCGGAATCCATCGTCCCGAGCTCCCTCTTCAGTGGCCGGCGACATGGCGTCAGCTTCCTGAATAGTGGAGGCGCGCGAGGGCCAGAAAGGAGTTCGACACATCCTGTCGGCGGCAAGGACAAAGCGGCCAAGGTGCGGGGGTCCACCTCCTGAGAGGGCAGGGGGGGGGCCCTTAGAAACGACCGGCCCCTTCAGAGCCGGGCACCCCGCGCCTTCTTCAGTGGCAGGAGAGCCTCCCGGGAGCCCCCCCCCACGACCAGGCCCGCTTCGGCCCGCCGGCACGTCCTGCTCGTTGAACTGCGGCAGTCGGAGGGCAACGTGGTCGCAAGCGGCGCCCAGGAACGCGGGCTGCCTGACAGGGGGAAAAACACAGATACCGATACTTCACTTCCCTGGACGCCTTTCCAAGGTGCGTTCTGACCAGAGTCTCCAGGCGGACCCCGCCGTGGCGAGAACGGCGAAACAGAGGCAACGGCAGCGGATAAGAGGGGAAGCAACTCTCTATATATACCCTCGCCTCCTCTGGCGCTGCACTGAACCTGCACAAGAAAGCGGATCCTGGTGTATACGGGATCCTGGTGTATACATAATTCGTTATTTCCCCGGGGAACGGAGAAAATGTATACATCACACCACCCCGACGTCGTCCCCGACCCTCAAAAATTCCTGGGATTGAAGAACAGCCCGCCACTGGTGATGTATATGTTCCAGCTTCCGAGTGATATCTACCTTGTCCTCCCCTGGGCCTGAACTGCAGAGCGCCGAGCGCGTGCAGCAGGTTGGCCACCTCCTGGGCGGAGAAGCGCGGCAGCCTCGGCGGTGCGTGCGTGCACACCGCCTGAAGGAGGTTCCGATGCCGGAACCCCAGTAGCCCCAGGGAGTACACGACGTTGGAGATGTTCTGCTCGCTGCACTCGTCCAGCCTGGTTCGCAGGGCGTAGGGGGGAGTGAGGACTGGGGGCGGGAGCTGGAAGCGAAAGGATGGAGGGAGGGGTGATGTAGGAGGGAGCGGTGGAGGGGGGAGAGGAGGGGGGAAGAAAGAGAGAGAGAGAGAGAGAGAGATAGAGGGACATACACACACGAACACACACACACACAACACACAAACACACACACACACAAACACACACACACACACATTCACACACACACACTCACTCATGCACATACACAAAACAAACCACACACACACAACACACACACACACAACACACACCCACACGCACAACCACACCCACACGCGCACGCACACGCACACGCACGCGCACCCGCACCCGCACCCGCACCCACACACGCCCACACACACACGCACACGCACCCGCCCACACCCACGCACACGCACAAGCACAGGCACGCACACACCCACGAAAGCACGCACGCACGCACGCACGCACCCACACACGCATACACGCACACACGCACACACGCACACACGCACACACGCACACCCGCACACCCGCAAACCCGCACACCCGCACACCCGCACACCCGCACACCCGCACACCCGCACACCCGCACACCCGCACACGCGCACACGCGCACCCGCACACCCGCACACCCGCACACCCGCATGCGCACAAGCACAGGCACGCACACACACACACACACACACGTACACGTACACACATACACGCCTCTCGTATGTATCAAGAGACACACAGACATAGAAACAGAGAGAGAGAGAGTGAGAGAGAGACAGAGCGAGAGATATGAAGAGAGACAGTGAGCAATGAAGAATGGGATGAAAAACATAACGAACTCGAGAAAGATACGGATGAGGAGAAGAAGGCGCAACCGAACCATTCCGCAGGATACGGAATCGTACAGCCCGCGCCATCGTCACTTAAAATAATCCTTCGGGTGGCACGTATCAGGAATTGAGGTTAGAACGGATGTTGTGAAAGGGCAGTGTCTCATTTGCCCTGATGGCTTCAATGAGAGCGGGCCGTCTCGACTCATTAGATCCTCTTGTAACAAATTCAACCTTCCCGAAGTATTGTCAAATGTCATGCTTTCGTGATCGTGAACGCGTGTGATAACACGTTCGTGCTGGCTCGAATCTGACAAATTCACAAGGCGAGGCTCCGATTTTGAGAAACTGCCCTTGTCCTCAACAGATCTGGGAAGCTTCCACTATCCATTCATTTCCTCAGACATCGCAGGGGGGGGGTCCTCGGCAGGAGACGGAGCTTCTGCGAAGCTCCAGAACCTACTGAAACGAATATCTCACGAAGGAGCGTCTGGGAGATTCAGTGTAACTGCGCTGTCTGCAGCCATCCCCATGCAGAGCGGAGACAGACCACATACCACCCCTGCTCCCAGCATCTGTCACTACGGGCCTCGTGTCGAGCCCGTCGCCGACTGCCGAGGAATGACCGGATCGACCGATTCTTGATGCCGAAACTTTCGGCCCGCGGCTGCAGCGTCGGAAGCAGCGGGATCTCGCTCAGCTCTGGCGGACAAAGCTCGGGCCTCGGGAAGCCCGCGGATGGCTCTGAAAAGCGGTGAAGGCCGAGGCGTGGCGCGCGGGCTCCAGGGAGCAAGCACCGAGGCCGACCAACTGCAGGAAGAGCCAAGAACGCCCTCGGACCAACGTGACTACGTGTCGTGAGATGCCCTTCGATGTGAAACTTGGGACTATTCCAGATGATGCCCGCTGGATGGGCAACTTCTCACTTGCACCGCCAACTCCACATGCTAACACCGACTCTGGCTAGACCCATCTTGGGCCCAAACTCACCATGACCAGCCCCGGGTCCAGGGTGGGCCCTGCGAGCATCAATGTCGGCATGCACATGGCAGCCCCGAAAACGTGATCCACAGACCGATCTTAGAGGGCAGAAAATCCCCCCCTATAATATTAACCTCGACACGGGAAGCCGTTTAGTAAACGCACCCACAGAAGGAACACAACAGGGCAAGGCTGTTTAGTCAACGTCCAGGGCCGTCTAGTAAACGTCAGTGATCGGGTCCGGGTGGTTTTTGCCCCCTCAAGATCTCATCCGAAGAGTTCGAAGCTTGTCTCCTTCAGCCGCGTCTGGTGAGGCTTCGGGCTGCGCGCAGATGGCCACCCCAGGTAGTCCCAGGTGGCCTTGACGGGCCCCCCAAATCGCCAGGGGCGGTCTCAACGCCCCAGTGCCGCCTCCAGCGGCGCGGTTGGGGTGCTGAGACCGTCTCGGACTGCCTGTGCGCAGCCCGAAGCCTCACCAGCCGTGCCTGCGATCTTCCACGGCGGTGTTCGCCAGGCTCCCGGGTGCGAGCCGATCTTCGCCGCCGTGCGGTGGAGGCCTTGCTCGCAGGTGCTCGCAGGCAGCGTGCAGCAGCCCTCCGTGCCCGAACGCCAGCAGAGCGGAGCTGTCCTGCCGCCCCTTCGCGCAAGGGGGCCATCCTTCTGGACGCGCGACGATGGGCGGTGCACGGAATTGAGCCATGGCCCACGTAGTGGCGGCGGAATCGTCGGCAGCCTGCGAGGCTCGGAAGAGGCCCATTGCTAGATATTGTCGCGGGCGGGTCGCGGACGAGGACGACGGCAAAAACTACAAGAACCACCACCACCACAACAACACCAAGACCAACAGCGACACCAGCAACAACAACAACCACCACAACAACAGCATCAACAACACCACCAGCAGCAACAACAACACCAAGCACAACTACAATAACATCAACAACTACAGCAGCAACATCAACAACACCACCAGTAACAACAATAACAACGACATCAGCAACAACATAACCACTACACACGACGAACAACCATAATAACGTTCAGACTGTTCGCTCTTATCTGATCGCGTGTCACTCAACATGAATATCCAAACCCATGATAACCGCTCTTGTCGTCTTCGAGCATGCCCCCTTGGGCCCTTACCTGCTACATGTGGTTGGCGCAGCCTCCAAGACAGGGGAAGGGAGGGAGGAGGGAACGGACGATATTAGCAAGAGGGTGTTAGGAGCAGGAACGCAAATGGCAAAACCAGACGGGCAAGTCGGGCGGGCGGGCGGAACCTAACGGGCGGGCGCGGGCGGGCGGGCCCAGACGACCAGGTCGAGTGGGCGGGTCGCTGAAGCATCAGTGTATGAATCGCGAGGAGGTCTCTAGCGATAGCGCGATGCCCAAATAAAGCGTGAGGATGTCCAGGGCGAGAACGTGATTCCGGAGTGCTGGGGGCGCGGCGCTCCGCTAGACTGCGAAGAAGCATCACGCGAGAGCGCGATCCATGGATAAAGTGTGGGGAGAAGTGCCGCGCGAGAGCGCGATTCTGAATAGATTGTGAGGAGGAGGAGGAGGAGGAGGAGGAGGAGGAGGAGGAGGAGGAGGAGGAGGAGGAGGAGGAGAGGGAGGAGGAGGAGGAGGAAAGGAGAGGAGGAGGAGGAGGAGAGGAGGAGGAGGAGGAGGAGGAGGAGGAGGAGGAGGAGGAGGAGGAAGAGGAGCGGGCCAGCAGCCCAGTCTGAGGCTCAAGGCTGTCCGTCCCTTTGTAGACAACGAGGTGCGAGCCGCGGGCGGGGCACTCGAATTCACAAACCGCAGTGGGCACCGAAGGGGGGGGAGATCAGCAGCATCTTGTTCTTTGGACATGAGAACTCAAACGCAACGACAATCCTCCCCACCGTGAAGCCCACTTCAGGCACGCACCCAGGGATGGTGTAAGACCGTTCGTCCCCCCTCACTCTGATGTTTCAAGATCACGCCATAAGAATATGTCGCACCGCAGACAGCGGGTGAAGGCGCACGCGTCGCCTGACCCCAATGGTTTGTTAAAAAGATTGCCTCTTTCCTGGGCAGAGATGGGCATACTGTCGTTCAGACAACGTCGCGGTCAAATCCTGCTGGGGCGGATCGTTGTCATGTTGGCCTTGCATCTTGCAGTGAGCTGAAGCAGCATATCAGACGGAAGCACTCGCACGGATGTGCGCATGCAGGCAGAGGCAGGTGCATACATACAGACTTCCCCATCGACGGAATGGCTGATCCCCATGGCCGGCAGTAAACGCGCGGCCCAAGGGTGGGGGGGGGGGCCAGGGACGTAATGAAATAAGAGGAGGCGCCATGAAAACTGGGGAGATGTCATGGCCCACACCATGATATCCATCCCCCCCTGGTCATCATCACCCCCCTCTCGGCCGCCCCCGACAATGGCATCACCCTGTCTGCGCACCCCGCCCCACGTAGTGGAAGGGACCTCTCAATATTTCCTCAGTCCTGCGCAGTGTCCATCACAGCAAGAACGCAGCTGAGCACAGGAACGCGTCGTTCATTCCAAATCGTGCTCATTTCCGATTGTGCTCGTTCCTTGCTGTTCCTGGCCCCCCAGTGGCCAGGAAGGAGGCCCAGGATAGAGCAATTAGAAATGGCAGGATCTTGGGCTACCCCCACAAAAATCAAAGAGTTCTCGAAGACTTAGAACTGAATAGCGGGAACGCGTGCACGCAACTTCGGAGCTCGGAGATGCAGAAGCAGCAGGGTGCGGACGGCGCTGGCAGGGAGCCCTGGACCGCCGCCGGGGGTGGACAAACCTCCCTTTAGCAAACCTCCCCTTAGGGAAAACGGCCTGCTCGCCATCGCTCGGACGTCCATTCCCTGTGTTTTTTTCGGTTTCGTGCGTGGTTTTCTCGCCAAATGATCAAGGATGCTCCTCGATGGTCCTCGCCGAAGGAACAATGCACACGTCCGAGCGATGCCAAGCCTGGGACCGAAACCGACGGACCTGGACCCGCAAAAAGGACGGCCGCGACGCCCTCTCGCGCACCGAAAACTGCCAATTCCTGAATCGACGCGTCAGGGCAGGAGGCCTGTCCACCCCCGAGGACCGCGGCCGGGGGTGTGCGCCGCCAGGCCAGCAGGGATACACCAGGTTCGACACCTCCTGCGGCTTGAAGTCCGGCAGCCGGGCGGGCACGTGAGCGGCGACCGCGTCGAGGCACTCCTGCGCCGCGGGGGGGGAGGGGGGGCGCCAGCGCGAGCGATCGCTTCCCCGACTCCAGGGCCGCTCCCCCCAAACGCTGCGCCCCGTCTCGTGCGGTCGGACCTGGGTCACGAGAGCACCCCTCAAGAACGTGAGGCCCTCCACAGGCCAAGCCCACGAGCATTCGAGGGCACTCTCCCCCCAGAGTGCACAAGAGCATCCAACAAACACGAAGAGCACCAGGGGTACCCTTCCCCGAACCGACCTCGATCTTATAATTACCTCGGTCCGAGAGTAAAATGAGACGGCTGGCTCCTGGAAGGCAAGCGCGCGACATCCTGGCATGTGTCGCGACGATTGGGACCAGAGGCACCAGAGCAAGCTCAGTATCCGCCATTCGTGACTGCGGCGCGTCGGCGGCGCGTATCAAGCCGTGTGTGTGTGGTGTGTGTGTGTGTGCGCGCGTGCGTGCGCCTCTCTCGATGAATCCTCTCTCTCTCTCTCTGTCTCGCTCTCTCCCTCTCTTACTCCCCTTGCCCCTCATCTCACGCTGCCGCGCTTGACAGCGACTACACGGCGCCTCACCCCGAGCGATTCGAGGCCGCGCAACAAAGCGAGTGAGAGACAGACGCGCAGTCCAGCATGGCTTCTCAACTGTTTGCTTTGGTGTCCCGCCAGAACGACATATCAGGCATGAGGCGGGAGGCTCCGTCGCGCTCTCTCTCCGCAAGAGGATCCAAAATGCTCCTCGATGGTCCTCGCCGAAGAAAAAAAGCACACACGCCCGAGCGATGCCGAGTCCCTGGCAAAACCCAGGACGGGCCTCATGCCCAGGACTGGGCAGGACCCCAGACGTGGGCCCCTGGCCTCGGACGGGCACAACCGCGCCCTGCACGGGACTCCCCGCGGCGACCTCCCGGGAGGCCTCCCTGAACGGCCCCGCGGGTCCTCGAGGCGGTCCTCCTCCTCCTCCTCCTCCTCCTCCTCCTCCTCCTCCTCCTCCTCCTCCTCCTCCTCTCATCCACCTCCACCTCCACCAAAACCTCCTTCTCCTACTCCTTGTCCGAGGGCCGTGGACAAGCCCGCGGGGCGCCCGCGCGGTCCCCGCCACGCTGCGCTTCTCTACCGATTCGCGCGCGCAGGCGTTGCACTACGGTGAGGGCGCGGTCGCAGGAAAAACCCTAGCAGGAGACCCAACCCTGAGAACCCGCGCGCGAGATGCACCCGAGGGGAAGCCCAGAGCACCCTGAGCGCAGCAACTTCTCCAGCGGCCGCGGGAAGCCACCGCGCAGCGCGCAGAGCGAAGAAACCCAGGGTACCCTGACGAAAAGCACCTGGTTCCTCGAGGCGCGCCGGCGCTGCGTGGAATTCGCGCCGTTCCACCCAGACGTCCGCGCCGCTCTTGCGATTGGGCAGTGGGCCTGCCCTCCCGCTTGGGCACTGGGCTGTTCTTGCGGTTGGCCCGTGCGGGCGCTCCTCCTCCTCCTCCTCCTCCTCCTCCACCTCCTCCTCCTCCTTCTCCTCCTCCTCCTCCTCCACCTCCACCTCCTCCTCCTCCTCCTCCTCCTCCTCCTCCTCCTCCTCCTCCTCCTCCTCCACCTCTCCCTCTCCCTCTCCATCCTTGCACCTTCGAGGCGCACCTCCCCTCCTCCCCCCTCCTCTGGCCATCGCTCGGACGTCTAGTCCCCGTGCTTTTCTCGGTTTCGCGCGCGGCTCTTCCGCAGAATGACCCAGGATGCTCCTCCATGACCCCCGCCGAGAAAAAGGTGCACACGTCCGCGCGATGCCAAGTCCCTCCAGCTCCCTCCCCCTGGAGCCCTCCCCCGGCCCGCGGCGGGCGGGGCCGCCCGCGAGCTCGAGGCCAGGGCGGGCGGGCGGGCGAGGCGCGGCCCTCCCGACCGCGTGGGCGGAGGCACGCCCCCCCCCCGCCGAGGCAGGCCGGGCGCGGGCCGGCAGCCGGGACGCCTCGCGCCGCACGACGTCGCGCGCGGGCGAGCAAGGGACCCGGGGGCTGCCAGGAAGGCGCCCCTGGCCCAAAGGTGCCCCCCCAGACCCCTCGGGCAAGGAGCAGATCATCATGACGGGAAGGTGCTCCGCATTCTCGGCCTCTGGAGGCACTTACCGGCCCTCGGGGCCGTTGAAAAGCGGTTCAGGATGAGAAACCGGTCCAGGGGAATGGGTCGAGACCTCCAGAGTCGACGCCATGACAAAAGTCATGACGTCGGGGGTCTGGGCCTTGTCCTCGTCCTCGTCCTCTTCCTCCTCCTCTCTTTGCTCCTTGTCCGACAATATCTGCGCCGCAGCGCTGCCGCCTGGCGCCCGCCCGCCCGCGACCCGCGAAGGCGGCCGGGCGCGGCCATCAGAGGCTCGTGTTACTTCGGCCTGGGTCAGGGGCTGCGGCCAACAGGCCGGAGGGGGCTTGGTCGGCCGCCCTCGCGGACGCACTGGGAGTCGCCAGCTCGCCCAAGGTGCCCCCCAGCTTCTCGCGCCATTGCGGGGCCCC